AACCAAGACATGTTTTTCTCTTTATAATTAACACTCCAAATACTGAGTCCCTAACAGCAAATCTATTTTTGTACAACACCTTCAGCGTATCAACTGACCCAAGAACATTGTCAAGATGTAATCTTGAAGTTGGAAATGGAAATGAATATCCCAATATTCACTACAAACCATCCTCAGATTTATCAAGAGTTTACAGAGATGTAATGTCATACGTTTGCGCAAACAACGATTTCCAAGGTGGAACACTACTTAACCGAGCAAATTGAATTGAATCTTTATTCTCATTTGTTTATTTTGACCTAACAAAGCAGAAAATGGATATTAAAGACGGAGTTAGAAAACTACAACCACGGACAAAAGTGGTTGGGAAGATGGAATAACTTAACAACATTATTGCCCCATTTCATACGCCTTATGTCTATATTCAAAAAAGACTATTTTTTCTTCTCCTGAATACCCCCCGCGCCCCCTATTCAATGTTGGAACATGTAACAACAATTACGCACAAAAACAATTTAGTTTTGTCCAACATTGATCTAGGGGGCGGGGGGGACAAGTACAAGAAAGGTAAAAATTGATAACCTTCCCAACATTTTTGACGATGATTGTAGCGTTTCATTACGCTCTTGTTCTTCATGAAAGAGAAGCCGAATTAGAACAAAAAGGTGGAAAACTTTTGCTACGAGCTTAAATTTAATGTAACTCTTAAAATAAAAAAATAATTTATTTTGAATACAAAGTAAATTTAACAGATAAGCAAAAATCAAATTAGCTTATGCATTAAATACTAAATCTCCACTAACTCTGAGATTAAGACATTCAAATCTTCAAGGAAGTGATGAATTAATGCTTACAAAAAGACAAATTGCTAAAATACAAAACTCTATCGCAAATGGCACTGGAACTGATCGATATAAAAATATCAAAAACACAAATATCCAAGATAGTGAAACATGGTGGAAACTTGTTTACAACACTTGCATCTCTTAGAACAAGACTTCTTCCCTATGCTACTTCAGTAATTTCAAAAGCTGTTTCAGCACTTGGAAGTCTTGGAATTGATATAAAGTTATTTGGAAAGGGAAGAAGCATTCCAAAGAAATTTATACCAATGTTACCACCATTCAAAAAACAGTTTACAAAAGCACAGATTAATCAAATTAACAAAGCTTATCAGAGCGGTGGAAGATTGGTTATCAAACCAACAAGAAAACAGATAGAAGGAGGATTCCTGGGAACACTTACTTCAATTGAAATTCCAGTGGCAATTAGTTTGGTATCAAAAATGTTTGGTTCTGGTCTTCAAGTTGATAGACAAGCTTCAAGTAATACAAGAAATATTTACGTTCCTCGTCCAGTGAAAAAAAGAGGTGAAGGACACTATCCGTATTTTTCACCACCTTTTTATGGAAGTTGGGAAATCCAGTTGGAGCAGGGGTAAAAAAAATCCTCAAAAAAGGGAAAACGGATTCTTCTAGAAAAAAAAAACAGTCAATTCAATCAAATTCCAATTCTGAGCACAATTTTGTAAGCAAACCACTATCCAACTTTGATTTGTTTGATTGGGTAAAAAAAACTTGGAATTAAAACCTTTAGCAGACATACAACAATCCTAAACAGAAAGCCTAAAATAAGTAGAAGTATGTTTTCGACTATTGATAAGACTTTTCACAACCACCACTTCATTTCAACACGCTGTAACTACATTGTCCCTTCATAACCAAATTAGCACCTCCACAACTACCTCACTGCAACTCCTAAAATCGCTTTTACTTCCCTAAATAATTATTTTTTGTTCCTTCACGTTAAATTCTACGAGAAATAATTTTCTACAACAATTATCTTACCAATTCACGTCCAATATAACTCTACGCCTTCCACTTCACGCATCTCAACTAACCCCTAAAATATCCAATGCAACTGCACTACTCACACATCCCTATTAAATACACTTAAAAAAAAAAAAACTTCACACACGCCTAGTACATCGACGCCGAAATATACGCTCCCACGGCGTCTTGTTTATGTTGCGATGTTGTACATGAATAATCCTCGGTGTGGAGATTGTGCATTTTCAGCAAGTTTTGTGAGGGAGTGTACTGATGTTAGTTTATAGCTACGTTGCTATGGAAAGTGTTGTTGTAGAGAAAATAAACGAAGTGGAACTGAGATCTCGCCGCGTGTAATTATTTATGACAGAAATTATAATCGAATTGGGTTACAACCATGCACCTAGCAGACTTCCGGTGAAGAAGTTAAAGACGTCTGTTACAAAAAAGGAGAAAAGTAAGCAGTATGGAAGGGTATCTGGAAAAAAGATCATTTCTTACTGTTCCTCCACATTCCAATTAATCCACACCAAGACGCCGAAGTCTACACTCCCATAGCGTCTTGCTTACAAATCAAGTCGCCAGTTTCAAAATTTTAGGCGCCATGGCGACCAAAAGTGGTCACAACTTGGAGGGTTGCTTTCCTACTTACCCATTTCTGCAACGGTCTGAATATACTGTTCATACTGCTAGAAAGTGTGGCACAAAACCTATGCGATATGTGACATGTGACGCTCCACTTTTGAGATCAGCGCGGCGCAGCTTCGTACCTTTACAGAAATCGCGCCAAAATCACCGTTCTTATGTGTGAACAGAAACGCTATCCAGTATTATTTTCGTGGCAGCGGAAAAGCTCTCCGGTATGGTGAGTTCATAGCCTAAAGCTCCCTTACTTAAGGGGGTTATATATGGGTCGTTTCGATATAAGTTTATTCAATCGAGGTGTAAATAGTTCCACGTACTTGGCGTAAAGAACGAAGATATTCACCCAAAATGCTTTTTCTTTGTTCCCTCACAAACTATACCTGAAGTGAACAAAAATTTTGTGCAATTTCACTGCTTGAGTTTGTATCCGCGAAACGACTTGTATCGAAACGACTTTGTATCGAAACGATACATTATGACATTCTCACCAAGAACTGTAGCTATTGCTGTTGCCTCATCTCAACCTGATTTGTTTACGGTTTGTTTGTTTGTTTGTTTTTCCTGCGTACAAGCAATGTTTAGTATTCCTCATCTTATATACGAAAGTTGCAATGTTAAGTTTTCCTTATCTAACACGCCAGTATTAGTATAGGTAATAGCATGATTTGTAGTGATATTTGGCATAAATATCTCGAGTGATAGTTCAAAATTGTTATACGTAATTTCACGATGCATCTGGCGAGTGCAATTTGAGACAATTTTGAAATATCACGAGTGGTATTTCCTCTAAATGTCACCTACCAATCATGCTATTATTTGTTTATACTACTACCCGCAAAAGGTTCGTAGTTTTCACGTGTAGGTATTTCAAATTAAGCAGAAATACAACTGCTCAAAGCCAATCAAATTACAGAAATTTCTCATGTAGTAGTATAAGAGTGGAAATTTTACTTTTTACGCAATATTACAAGTACTTACGTAGAACTTTGACATATGTAGACGACACGATCATTCCATGTGGATTCTCTGCCACACATTGATAAATTCCAGTTTCATCTGGGTACCTCACATTCTTAAAAACCAACTCGTTGCCACTTAATGTTACCTGTACACTGTGAAATACAACATTTTATTGTATAAACACCAATAGAATGCCAGGTGAGATTTCGAGCGAAAACATGATATCTTCACATGTGAAAATAACAAGTAATAAACCGCGCCTCTCACAGCAAAAACTATATATTAAAGTGAAAAAAGTTGGTATTTCGTTGGTGTTTATGGCCGCTTGGAGATACGAACTTTCTCTTCTCGTGCTGAAAAATGTTTCACTTGTTCTCTGCGCTCACTCGCGAAATAATTCAACACTCGAAGAGAAATTTCGTATCTCCGCGCGGCCATGTAATATCCTCTATATCTCTTTATATTTGCGTTGTGAACGTCATACAGGTAACTTTCAAATGCAACCTACAGTAAACTGAATCATAACCTTCCAGTGCAAAACGTTTAGCTCATCTAGAATGTGTAGAGTATTAAATTACACTAGTAATAGTTGACACTACAGCTGCCCCCGCTCTGTATATTGTCGGTCAATAGCATTCTTGCTCGTTGTGAAATATACAGATTCATAAGAAAGATTTTCACACATATTCCATACAATAGGTGAGATAAATACAGGAAACGCAAGGTTCCATGCACAGTTTCAGGTCGATTTAGACAGCTTTGATCAAAACATTCTCAGTTTCGAGAATAATTTATTCTAAACCATAAGAAAAGATTTAATTAGAAGTTGAATTTTTCGCTATTTCACTTTTTATATTCAGTTCATTTTATTTGCCGGAACGGAAGCCTTAGAAATTAAAAGGACGTTTGATCAATTCACACTCGCGCATTCTAGTCTTATTTTAAACTTTGAAGCGGAAGAACATCTGTGAACAGGGAATAAGTCAGCACAGAATTTGATTGTCGGCGAATTTCTGTAATCGTCCATCGTTCTGCTAGTGAGAAGCTACCCGTTGTTCACTCGTCTTGCTTGTTTGGAGCTGAGTCTTATTCCGGTCAAAGAGAGAGAAAGAGTGTCTGGCAAGGTCTCCAAGTGTTTATATATACACAGTTATACACACCTTATAACTTCTTCTGCGCTTAACGAGAGTCGTTAAAATTTTGGTCCACAACTCTCACTGAAACAACTGCTCCACAGAATGTCACTGATAACACGTAACGCAAAAGAGTGTCGAAGTATGACTGCACAATAAATGTCACAAAATCTACCTAAGCGGTCCCTTGGGGATGTTCTGTCATTACGTCATCATAACCATTTCGTACTTGCGGGCGCAAACAATAGAAGCGTCATCATTACCTACCGATTCCTCGCGGTCCCTTTTCAAGCAAATCGAGATTTTTCCTATATTGACTGTATGACTGTATATTTCAACTGTAAGTACTTTCCTTAATGTACGCGCGAGTTACTAGAGTGCCTCCTCGGGATTTCGCCTTCTGGGCGAAATCCCTGCGGGGGCAATGATATTCTTATGCATTAAAATAATTCTCGAGAGCACTAAATTTTTCCCTGACTCTTAAAATGAAATCTAGAAAAAATCAAAAGTTAGCACTCACAACAACGTGTGATAATAAACAGGATGTGGCCTTTACATTTACCAATTCACAGAGCGTGTACTAAGAGAAACAATTATTACAAAACTTACGTTGATGTTGCGAGTTGTTTCCCATTCTTGTACCACTTAAAAGATGGCGAAGGGTCCGCAAATACATCCCATGTTAAGGTGACATTGCCATGAACATCAATTTCAACTTGTTGAGGAGGCCATACTGTAAACTTTGGAGCAACTGCAAAGAGAATCAATCAAATAGTCAGTTACATTGTATCATCACCAACTGTCTTTAAAATAATTATGCCCCAGTCAAAATAAAAATGTCTACAAGTTTCAGGTTTCATACAAAACATTGCAACCATTTTTCAAGGACTTTAAAGGGACTTTTTAAGGTCCACATTCAGGGATATACTTTCACAGACTGTAGAAAAATGCACATTCCCAGTCTATTCCAACACGACTCTAAGGCTTGAACTGTTTGCTTCACCAACTTCTCTACATTTTTCCAGTTCACAAAAACAAACAGCACTTTATGTAAATAACCTTTAAATTCTCTGAGTTACACGTACGATTTATAGTCTCTGTTAGACAACCAAAAATCATGAAAAAACACTTTCCAGGCCATTAAATTCAAATTTGAGAATAATTCAATGACTTTTCAAGGATTGCCCAGAAATTTAAGGAAAAATGGAATTCAAGCACTTTTCAAGACTGTGACCTAGCTTGTGTTAAGTACAATAGAACCCCTGTAACTCGAACTCTGAAGGGAAGCAAAATTTTGAGAAGGAAACCTAAATCCTTAGCCGAGGAGACTAGAAAGTCTAACTGTTTGCAGAAGTCTTTGCAAAGGCAGAACTTTCTCTTCCAGGGCAGGAAACTTGCGATCCCCACTGTGCGGCATAATTGCATGCATCAATCACACCTGCTTGTCAGCAACGATCAGTGACCCGAATCGCTTGTTTGCTAAAGCAGTTAGTGGAGCGTATCGGCTATTTCTTAATTTTTGGAAAAGATCACCGGAAGCACTTAAGAATAACAGTACTGATGAGGATGTTCCTTCCAAAAAGAAAAAGATGACACATAAACGTAAAGGATGTTTATCGTTTTCTGGGATACCGGGTCCCATATTTTCCAGTCGGACCCGAATAATAACTCGGACTCGACCTGCTTTATTCGGACACGAACTTAAATCGGATCCGAATTGCGCCGACAAGTTGGGTCCAATTCTCAATCGGGCCTGATCAAAACAATTCGGACCTGATTACTTTAAATCGAGCCCGATTTCTTTGAGATCCCACCTGAGATAGATCGGACCCGATTTAAGTTCGTGTCCGAATAAAGCAGTCGAGTCCGAGTTATTATTCGGGTCCGACTGGAAAATATGGGTTCTGGTATCCCAGAAAACGATAAACATCCAAAGTAAACAGATGTATCAAACGTTTATTACATACTTTAATTCAATTTCTTAAGTTATAGGTTTTTATTGGCTATTTAGCTTCTCACTAAACTGGGACATGGTTGATAAAAAAAGAGATTTTTTATAACCCAGAATTGCTGTTGCCGTTTTTTTGGGAAAAGTAGTTTTGTAGTCCGGACGAGAAAATTGACATGTACAAGAAAGTTTCCTGCCCTGTTCTCAGTCATTTAAAGGCGCCCTGACTGTTGGTCCAGCCAGGGTTCGAACCGGTGACCTACCACTCAGACCAGCACTCACCCAACTACGCTAACCAGGGGGCGGTTTAGTGTGACAGTAACATTAAAGACTTAATTCGATCATTAAAGATGGACCTAAGGTCATTTACATTCCACGTTCAGCTGTATATGATGAACCAAAGGTTTTCCACCACTTTGAGGATTCTCAGCCTCACAACGGTACGTGGTCTGATGCATCTTCTGTTTCACGGATATAATTTTAAGCAGTCTTCCTTGAAAAGCACTAGCAATCTCAAAATTATCTTGTCCATCTACAAGGTTCTGCCAGTTTCCACCTCTGCTTATTTTCCAAGTTATCGTTGGCACAGGTCTGTAAGTAACAAGATAATGACTAGATATCAAATCTTAATGAATGGGTGTAAGAAGAAGTTGGCTGTTTAAGGAATGTATTTGCATTGAGAGCCTCCCGGTTTAACCCCCCAAAAAATTGGTTCCCTATTTTTTCTGAAAACAAACCCATCCAATATTTAGTACTGTCTCTTATATTGACTAATTAATGAAAAGAATTCAGTATCAGTTCATCTGAAATAATTTTAAGCGCTAACCTTCCCACTGCAAGACAATACAGAGTTTTATTTCTTCCCTCCACAGCCGTTTCTACGACAGCAGGTACGAGTCTCAATGCAGGCGCTCTTGGTGTCTGTGGATCTGTTTGACCTAAGACAAAATACACAATTAACTCTGTAAAACATTTACCCTTGCTTATGCTAAACGTAGTTCTGACTCCTCTCTTTCCCTCGCTTTTCAGAGACTTTTTCAGTAGAAAATGGAATAAATTCAAATAATAATAATAATAATAATAATATACTTAAAGAACCTTCTTTTTTCCAAGTTAAGCCTAAAAAGGTTCCCGTAAACAATTCTTCCAGCAGCAAAAGCTTTTTTTCTTAATAAATTAAGAAACATTATGAGAACCTCAATTCTCGGTTTTCTCATGTCACCAAAATTCAAAATTTGACTCTGATGAGTGTTTAATTCCATGAGGTACATGTATTACAGCAGCTGAACACCTTCATTTATACAAATTTTTCGTTTGAAAGGGTTAACCTTTGTTTGGTGATTGATAAAGGATGCTTGAATTTCCAAGCTTTTGAGTGAGATTGCACTTAGATATCTACCGGGAAAGCTCTAATGCACACTGTGCCAGACGTGACTAATCAATGACATCAATGAAATTAATAAGTAATCATCAATAGGTAATCGATGGGTAATCAGTTGATTAGTCATTGATTATATCCAGTATTCAATGACTAATCGATGAATAATTGATAGGCCACAAAATTTTCAGTCATCAATTAGTCATTGCTTAGTTATCGGTATAATCTTGCGGGTGCTCAAACCATACCAAATCGCAAATAAAGAAATAAAGCCTTCTTTCACATAAATGTCACGACGAATACAAGCTTTATTTATTCGTGTTATTCAACAACAGCAGCATCTGAAGGCCCTGAAGTATCTTCAGTACAGTGCACACATGCCAACTCTCCCGGATACGGCACCGATCTTCTGTTCTCCAGTACGGGTAACCCAGTCCCTCAGATAAAATCATCTTTTGATCTTTTCTGTGCTTTAGTTTGAGATGTAGCCCATTTTTTCCGCAAAATTTGAATTTTTCTTTTTCGTAGTACGGTTTATGGCACATTTTTGCACGTATTTAGTCACTGACAAAGACTATTTCGGCATCAAAACGATGATAGTGAATTTTGATGGTATGTACTTCATGTAAGATTTCATATAATATCCTAAGCCACTCCCATTGAGGGCTGGGTCAGTTTGTTGGGGGGGGGAGTCCATCGATATTTGGGGGTGGGGGTAGTGAAAAAGATTAGGTCTCCAGATTAAGATCCCCAGAGGTTGGCATCTCTGCTGTCAGGAACTCGCTGGCGCTTATTGTTGAGCCAGACCTTGGCGATTGTTAATTCAAGGCTACTCGATCTTGAACCACTTTCAAGAACCCCTTTTAGTTTCTATAAATCTGGATAAATTGAAACAACCACCTTAGACGCAGAAATCTTTTACCCGGTAGGCACTCTATACTGGCTGTTTCTAAACAAAGACAGACTCTTATAGCCAAGAGACTAAGACAGATAACTCGACCTTCTGAACATTTCGTTTTTGATATTTCAGGTACTGTTCGATTTAAGCAATAGAAAATGTTTTCCGTGTATGCATAGCCTGATATAAACACGAGAGGGGTTGGGAGAATTCAAGACAGTTATGCAAACCCGAGACGAAGTCGAGGGTTTATATAACTGTCGAGAATTCTAACAACCCCTCGATTGTTTATATCAGGATATGCAAACACAGCAAAAAAGTTTTCTATTGCTTTTATAAAATAACTTTCCCGAGAAGAAAAGCAAAACTCTCTTGCTTAGAGCACTGATTAAGAGACAAATTCTTACCAGTCGCGAAGTCTTGTACACGAAGCTTGTACGCGTAATCAGTCCTTGTTTTGCAAAAAAGCAGCTTTCCAAAATACGGGTTTTTCTCGCTTAAACTGTCAGCTCAAGCGAACAAAAATTGACACAGCATGTTTCTAAAGATTTTCCAAGTTTCAGCCGGCGAGGAAATGGGTAAATAATCTAAACTTTTCGAGGTTTCCAACTCAAAACCTTTTTCAAATTCGTGCTTGCGTGTTAGCGAGCGAAAAGCAAAGCATCGTGACGTCACAACCATGTCTACATACTCTCATGCAAACACGCCTCTCGGCCAATCAGAGCGCGCGTTCTATCTTTAGGTTAGTTATTTTATAAAAATAAATTTGACTTGCCGTTCTGTTTTCATCATGGCCTATATACGTTTATACAAGTTCAGTTCCTATTTTGGCTATTATTATCGTCAACAACCATTAACGTAAATTTTTATCACTGGAAATAACTCAAGAAAAAAATTGCTAGAAATTTTATGAGATGTGTAATCTGAATAACGAATCGATGGATTATCATCAAAGAACGCATGAGTAATCGAACGCATCAATTACTTATCAATGACATCAATGAGCAACTGATAGGCCACAAAATGTTTGGCCATCGATTAGTCATCGATTAGCCATTGATTATAGTGAATAATCAAAGACTTATCAGTTGATTTTCCAACGATTACTCATCAATTACTCATTAATGTAATTCATCATCGATTACAGTAGTTATGTCTGGACTGTACTACATAGGCTAAAAACATCATCAAATTTTTGAGATTTTCCTACTAAACATTCCTTGTCAGAAAATAAATATGACTTTCACGTGTTTGAGTTCCTCAAGCAATGAATTATTGCTTTTGTAGAAAAGTCCTATTAATTTTTGTGCCCCTCAAAGGGATACCAACATGGCATCTCCATGTAAAGCTTTAAACTTTGGACAAAAAATTTTTCTGTGTACAGAGTATGCTGCATCATGAAATATTGCACAGACCTGACTCTTGGCGAGGCTTTTTTCATACTTGTATTTATTATCTTTTATCTCCAAGATTCTAGACCTTCTGTATTGAATAGTTTCAATTTTCATTTTTTGACGGTGTGACAGTGAAAACAGAGAATAGACCAAATTTCGTGATTAACACCAATATTATAAGATGGACACCAGGTCAGAGGGAAACTTCCAAAATGTTGCATGCAAATTGTAATGCAGTTAAATAAATGGGATGGGAGTTCTTCTTCCTAGTCCTTGAGATTTCCTTTCGTCGAAAACAAAGAATTTACCTGGATTTTTCTTCTTTAATTTCAAAAGACCAGACCTCTCAAATCTGTTTGCTCCAGTCATAAAACATCTGATTCCTTGGCTGTCATACTCTGCAAAATCATCAAAGTCTTCCTGGGTAACATACATGATTACCAGTTGTCCTGTCGGTGATATGGCTCGTCGATCATTTCTCTTGAACTGTATGTCCACAGTAGGGATATTCTTGCTGGGCAAGTAAATTTTAAACCTGACTTCCCCAATAGGCAAGGTTTATACAAATCATCCTCTAACAAAATTATTAACTTTAGACAAGCAAGAAGCGGCCCTGGGCAAGCAAAATGTGAGAGCTGCTTGCCCAAAGGATAAGCTGGAATTCAATTTCAATTTTTTCAAGCCCTGCATCAAAAGCACCGCCTTGGGTTTTATTGATTTTTTGTTCAGATCTGTTCAACTGCTTATGCCAATCATACTGAAATGGCTCCTTACCCGTAACAGCAACCTGTATCTTCCTGCTGAATTCCTCCATTCCAGTTACAGTGTCCCTGACAAAACACTGATAGTGTCCACTCTGTGCACCCTCAAGGTAACTTCCGTATAATGTTCCATCGGCACCAACGGTGAACTTATAATCATTTATGGCAATTGCCGTGCAATTGTGCTTCCAGGTCCATTGCAAGTTATTCCCACTAGCACCACATGGTAATTTCAAGGCATTTTGTCTACTAAACTTAACATCGTCGGGAGCAAGTAAATCCTTGGTTAGAAAGTTAAAAATTCTTGGCGGGTCTGCCACCTGTTGACCTGCAATTTAGACAAAGAGGTTGCAGTTAACTGTGATTTTTAAGCCGATTTGTAGGTCAAGCGACCCACAAGGAGCCGTGTGTGACCAAGGGATTAACACCTTGAACTCTTGATCTGGAGGTCCGGGCTTAAAGCCTTGCCCATCGAGTTGTTTTCTTAGACAAGGAACTTTACTGTCCCAAAAAAATGCAAAAAGTGACAAGTAAATGTGCGGCAAAGATGGTAAATGCCCCATTTGCATACCACAACATGGGGTTGTAAATAACGAAGCAAATTTGGCATTTACCATCTTTGCCCCATATTTACTCCCCAACTTTGTTACAGTTTTGCGACTTATGTGCCGAGAGAAAAT